TTTTTTTTTTTTTTTTTTTTTGGTACCATGATTAAGGTTATTCAAAAGAATCTACTATAGGCCCAGAGGGCAATTTTAAAAGAAGAGGTTTAAAAAAAAAAAAAAAACATGAAGTTAAATTTGTCATTGGGAAGTGGTTAGTCTTCTTTTTATAAAACAAATGCCTACTGCAGAATCATTATTTATATGTAAATATGAAATTCTTCATCCTTGATTCCCAAGTATTCTTTATTGCCACTTATTCCAGTGTACTTTCTTACCATCTATGCTGATGACTTTTTTCCCATACTTTCTAAAGGCTGGGGTGAGCCCTGGGGGGAGCCTTCTACTCCAGCCACAACTGTGGATAATGGTACTTCAGCATGGGGTAAACCCATAGACAGTGGTCCCAGCTGGGGGGAACCCATTGCTCCAGCATCCAACACATCCACCTGGGGCTCCAGCTCTGTTGGTCCACAAGCGTTAAGCAAATCTGGTAAGTTACCCTTGATCCCTGGAAGCTAGTATGTAGCACTAACTACTGTTGAATAATTGGATAATGCTTGTACATTGTTGATGATGTGTGGGTGTACTGTGGTATACCTGATGATACTCAGCACTTAGCTCTTTGAGTTTGTAACATGATTTATTCTTCTGTCTCCTGTCTAAATTTTTTATGTTCATTTTCCTCAAATTGTAATCATTAATGATTTACATACTTCTTACCAAGTTTAAATTATATTTTACCAAATTGGACAATCTATAAATAGTCTGTCATCTTTCGTGCCATCCAACCTGAGAGGCTGAAAGAATATAACATGGGACACATCTCCAAACCGCTAGATGTTTCTCAAAAAGTTCATTTAATTTGAGAGACCTGAGATTCAGATCAACCCTGTCACTGTCCCACTCACTGTGTATATTAGACCTTATTGGAATCCCAAAGGCCGTGTGTAGGGAGAAACTGCTTTCTGCTTTTGAGTTCTAAAATTCTTTGAAAATATTTATCAATTTGATCTTTTCAAATTTCATTTGTGTCACTATGCAGATTAATTGGGAACCCATGAAAGCCACCATTGTCTGTGTTTAGGGACCCTATAATTGGTAAAGGAATAGGGGAGGATTTAATGAAAAAAATTTAATAAAAATAAATTCTTCTTTAATTGGACTTTTAGCTCAGTGTAAAATGTACATTCCTATTATGCAAATTTGGCAAAAGAAATAGTGTTTTGTTTTCTTTTGTTTTAGGTTCCCTCTCTCCACTCTTTAATGTATACTTTCTTCTAGAAAAAATTGTTTTATTAAAGTCTGTTTCTATCACAAATCCACAATCAGGGCCAAAATCTATGCAAGATGGCTGGTGTGGTGATGACATGCCATTGCCTGGAAATCGCCCCACTGGCTGGGAAGAGGAAGAGGATGTAGAGATTGGAATGTGGAATAGTAACTCATCTCAAGAGCTTAATTCATCTTTAAATTGGCCACCATATACCAAGAAAATGTCATCGAAGGTAAACATTTCGAGGGCAAAGCCCTTGAAACTTTCATTTCCAAAGGTAGTTTACCCACAGAAAATTAACCTCCTGCCTGCCCATTTATGGCCATCAGTGTAGTCCAGGCAGTCCCCAACTTAGGTACAGCCTCTTATATGGGCAGCCACCTAGGAAAACCGAAGCCCACAGGAACTTCCTTTCTCCCCACTGCTACAGCTTGGGATCTCTCTCCCACTCCCCTCCACTAGCGCTGCCCGGGGCGACCCCGCCTCCCAGGGTGGTGCCTGCAGTGGTGAGGATGGAGAGAAGGCAGATCTCCATGGTGACGCTTGGCATCCCACTGCCAGTCCTCCCATTCCACCTCCTCACCAGAGCCCCTGACAGCCCCCTTACCCAAGTCACCATTCTCCTATTCATCTGCCACCTTTGGCCCTTCTCATCCCAGAAGGTCCTATGACAAAAATCCCTAGATATGGGCTGAGTTTGATTTTGTTTTAATATGTGGACAGATTGTATTCCCAAACCTGGTTTTTATCAGAATCATCTGGCATTTGTTAACAGTATCTTTTCCTGTACCCCAGGTCTCTTGAAGTTTTGGGAATGGGGTCAAGTGTCCTGTCCTAAACGTTCCCCAGATGTCTCTGATACAGATCCAGGTTTAGGAACCTCTGATTTAGAGCACTGGTTCTCTAAGAGATGATATTGGGGCTGGTGTCAGATTCTCCTGGGGACATTTTTCAAAATATGTGCCTAGTCTCCCAGGTGGTTCTAACATGTCCTTCCCTCCTATTTGACTTCTGGGTGACCTTAGAAGTCAGATATCCAGTGGGTCACTGGACTGGCTGGCTGCCAGAGTTTCCCTTTTCATCCTGGGATTCGCAGTCTAGGACCTGCCATTTTTACCTCATACTTTCTTCATTTGGCTGAGTCTGCCTATTGCCTTGCCATATGGCTTATGAAATGCTTCTACATGAATCATTTGATCCTCACAACCTTCTAAGATAGGATACTGATGAGGAATTTGAGGCTGCAAAAGGTGGTGACTTGCCCAAATTTGCATAACTAGTGACAGAGCAAGGACTTAAGTTTAGGTCTTCCGATTCCAAACCCTGTGTTCTTCCCACTGGACCATGCTGTTTTGTGACTTTGTCTTTCCTTACAGGGTCTGAGTGGCAAAAAAAGGAGAAGGGAAAGGGTGTGTAGCCTTTTTACTCTTTCTCCTTTGTTTCTACTAGTAAAATTCTTTAGAAAGCAACTGCAAACATTTATTTAGCTTCTGCTGTGTGCCAGGTACTGTGCTTGGTGCTGGGGATTGAAATTCACTTGAGAGATGAGCTGTGTATTCAAGGAGCTCATGATTGTATGGGGCATTAGGAGAGCTTCCTAAGAGTGTCAGCTGAAATTTGGAAGAGGCCTGGGGTGGGATGTATTAAGGAGAATAGAAGCCTGACATTACTAAAAGGCAACTTTCTAGAAAGAAGTGGTAGGAGATCTGGCTCTGTAGTTAAATTAGAGAGATTATTAAGGTATTCTCAGTTCATGCCAAGGAATTTGAACTTTATTTTACATAAAATATGGAGCCAATGAAAAAGAATAAAAGAGAACATCAGTGAATTTTTTAAAAACTTTTTAAAACTAGCCAATGATAGTATGAAATATAAATTGGAACAGGAGAGACCGGATTTAGGAATCTCAGGAAGCTTTTCCATTAATTCAAGTTAGAAAAGAGGGTTTGATTTGGGAAATTAGAATAAATGTGTAGTTGAAGGGACTAATTTGAAAGACATTTTAGAATTCGAGGGACAGAAAACTTGGCACCTAGTTAGAGGGGGCGGGAGTGAAAGGAAAAGGAATCAAAGACGACTTGAGAGCCTTGGAGAGGGTTAGGTGCTTGCTTCAGAGACCTGCATTTAGGGGGTTAATTATGAAGCTGGGTTCTGTTTCACAGTCAGAAGGAACAGGTAGTAGCAATGGGAAAGGGAAATTCAGGCCACAGACTTGAGGATGGTCTGCAGTCTTCACATGGACGGGAGACCTCGGTTTCTGAGACTCCGGCCTCTCTGTCTACCAGGCTGCTGCTGATCAAGTGCCTTCATTGTTTCAGGCCGGGTGTCAGGGTGGTGTCTGTACCTTCCATACCCCAACCAGCCTCAGAGAGCCAGCACGAAGCGGGAGGGATCCAGCTTCAACTGCTGCTGGAGATGCTGTGTTCTTGGCAACACAAATAGAAAGTTTAAATATCTTTTCGTGGGGAAACACATGGTGTTTCTTCAGTATAGTACACATAGCATAATTAAAGGTTAAATTATTTTTTTTGGACTAACTTGAGAAGTGAATCACTATTTTTCACTTTGGTATGAGAATTCTAAAAATCCAAATTATAATAAATCTTTCAGAACAGAGTCCATTTGTAGATTGAGAACTGCCCAGTGGACAGGTCCTCATTGTTCAGAGGCCCCTTTTTCATTTAGGGGGTCCTCGGGGCCTTTGCTTCTGTCTTTTCCTTCTGACTGCCTGCCTTTAGAGATTTCTCTGTACATTACAGCTATATCAGAGGACTGGAGCAAAGGAAGTTGAAAATCATTTAAATAAGTTGATTTTTATAATGTCAACAACTCTGATAAGAGTTGGTTGGAGGAGAAATTATTGGCTAAAAATGAGAGTTGGGAATTGTCTTAAAGTTTTATTAATCCATCACTATACCCAGATAAATAGAGATGGCCATGGCATCTTTTCTACTCTTTTATTTTACAAAGGGAATGATGAAAGGTGGAAACAAACAAGAAGAAGCATGGATAAATCCATTTGTTAAACAGTTTTCAAATATCAGTTTTTCGGTAAGTGTGTTTTCCGGTAGCCCCTCCCCTTTCCGTAGTGGTCCATAATTTATCCCAATTTCATATTTTTGTTTTCTAAAAGTCTTTCTTCATCCTTGGGTCCTTAAAATATCATTGCAGTGAGAGTAAAATTGACCTTCAAACCTTAATTTTTATAGTTTAAGCTAAAAACCCAGATCACATCTCATTGAAAATTTTTTACATTAAAATATAATGAAAAATGAAGCTTTGGTGAAATACACTAAAAATTCACTTTTATTTGTTTTCATTAACGAATTAAGGTCTGCTAATGTGTTACTTTTTCTTATTTCAGAGAGACTCACCAGAAGAAAATGTACAGAGCAATAAGATGGACCTTTCTGGAGGTGAGAGAAAATTAAATCCGTTTGAGTTCCTGTTGATCTCTGATGAACAAGTGTATCTAAAATGCGGCCTTCCTCAGGGAGCCCTCACCCACCCCAGGAGAGACCCCTGGGCGTGGTTCAGTGAGTGCACGCACGTCAGTGGGGGTCTAAGGTAGTGGCGATGGTAGTCTGTTATTAGAGTCCTATCAGCAGTGGGTTTTCTCCAAAGAGGGAGTTGATTTTCTCAATCAGGGAACCGCGTGTATGGAGGCCTAGATGTGACCGGGGTGTCTTCAACCTTACTGGAGAAATGGCAAGTAGGTCCCTGTAATGAGGCCAGAAATACAAAAGTGATGGTCAGAAGAGGGTGGTGTGAGTGGAGATGATGCAGCTCCCCTTGGGTAGAGATGCCATAGAGCCAGGCACTAAATCAGGGGGAACTTGGGGGCCTGAGCTTTCTTCTGAAAATATGAGATTAAGAGTTTGAAGCAGAGGAGTTGCATGATTTAGGTTTCTGTTTTAGAAAAAATAACCCTGGGCACAGATTGAAAATAGCTCAGGACAGAAAACAGCAGCAGCAAAGGGTGCACCGAAGACCCTCGAGATGGCGCACTGGGCAGAGCCCTGCTGCGGTAGCTGTGTTGCCTTCCAAGCTCCAAACTGAGAAAGTGCCTGGAAAGAACCTCCTCCCGTGGCCATATAGGACTGGAATCACCAGAAATTGATGATCAGCTGTCGCTGATGTTGTTGCAGAGGGTGAGGGGAGTTGTAACGAAAGCTGCCTCAGCTTCCTCACCCGCGCAGTGCCGTGGGTGGTCTGGGCAGAAGAGGGGAACTTTAAGAATTATTAACTCTAGCAAGGAATTAGGATAGCAAGGAATCGGTCAGAAAACGGTGAAAGAACTATGAGTAGCACACAGAAGAAGTCACCAACCTTGGGATGGAGATGGCATGCATCCTGCCCCCTGCTGAACTCCCGTCTCCTGGGCACAGCCATGGCTTACTGCTGAGCAGAGAGTAGTCATTGTGATGCCACCCCAGAGGAATTGTGGGAAGTGTACCCTTCAGGATAGCAAGCAGAGAGTGACAGCCTAGGAGAGGCGTCTCACTAGTGGCACTCCACTATAAAACGGCCAGAGGGGTGCCTGGTGGAAGCTGCGGGTTCCTGGCAAGGTGAGCTTGGGAGAGCTGCCTGTGTGGCTGGAGAGAGCACACCAGGCCCGGGAGCCAGGTCTTTTTACAGTGTCTCTTCTGCACACTCTATTGACATGGCTTCAGTGCCGGCTAGCAAAGGAACAAATATGTAACAGGCTGAATCCATTACTTTCACAAAGCAGCCAGAAAGGACTAGTGATCAGTACAGTTCACCCCCCCTCTGACCACTCACCTTCCACGTGCATCCTTCTGCTCACAGTGGCAGACTGCTCTTTCTGCGTAACAGAATGCAGCTTTCTTTCTTAAACATGAGAAAGATGAGAAGCTGTGCAGTCCCAATTGTCATTGTACCAGTGTTGGCCCTATTAATCTCCCCTTGAGTTCAGCCACAGTTTCTTACCCAAAACACTAAATTATAAAGTACTTCTATTAACTTTTGAGTAAGGTAAAAATGAGAAAGAGAAGGAAGGTAACGGTCGACCCAAACAAGTCACCACCAACCTGGAACAAGCAGTGGAAACCACGTCGCGCCACTCCAGGGCTGAGGTCCCTTCCTCTGATGGAAGTGTTTTGGATTTTAGAATATTTACATAAACTACTGGTTTATGTAATCCCTGATTCAAAGTGCTTCAAAATCCAAAATTTTTTGAGTATCAGATACACAAAAAGTTTCAGATTTGGGGTTTTCAGATCAGGGTGACTTACCCTGTGCCGTCCTTATTCAGTAGCTGGTCACAACCCGCCGTTAGTGTCAGTGTCTTCCTTCTTTCATTGTTATCCTTTATCTACTCTGCTTTCAAGTTGAACCTTGGCTGTTCTAGGCCCCTTAATGGGTTGGAATGATCCAAACCTTTATTTTCGAAGGATTGGAGCTGCATTTCTCCCTGTCCCTTTTAGCTGCCTCTAATGTTGAGTAAGGGACTGTGCAAAGCGCCCAGAGAAACCTCTGGGTTCCGCAGTCTTCATGCTTTCATTCTGAGTCAGAAAACCACTCTCCCCTTGGTAGTCAGAACCAGCCTGGTCCTGCCTGTCATAGGAGTCCCCATGTCCAGGCGGCCATCGCCGTCCTCCGTTGTGTGGAACCATTTGTGTGTCTTTTGGAGGAAGCATTTTCTCTCTCAAGGAGTAAGTTCTCTAAATGGAGCTATCAGACAGGAAGCAAGAATTCTGTAAGTGGCCTCGTAGGTATGATTGTGAGGGAGACCACTCCCGCTTTCATCTTTTTGTTTGTGGATTCTGGCCGTGGGAGAGATTCATGCTTGTTTCTTGCAAGACAGAAGCCCTCCTCTGAGCATGTTGTCCCTTAACTTGCTTTGTATTGAGTCTTCAGTGGCCACCCTGCCCATCACTTGGCTAGCCACCTTCAGATGATGGTGTAGGTAGTAAGGCCAGTTAATTCCCCTATTGTACTTCCTTTGCTATGGAAAAAAAAAAAAAAAAAGATTCTTTTTGATCTTTTTGTTTGTGGGGTTGGTTTTTTGTTTTGTTTTTGGTTTTTGAACTCAGGGGCACTTGCCCACTGAGCCACATCCCCAGCCCTATTTTATTTATTTAGAGACAGGGTCTCACTGAATTACTTAATGCCTCGCTTTTACTGAGGCTGGCTTTGAACTTGTGATCCTCCTGCCTCGGCCTCCCTAGCTGCTGGGATTACAGGTGTGCACCACCACACCCAGCTGAAAAGAATTCTTGACCTGAAATGTGGCTTGACTTGACACTGTTCTCTGACAAGGGACAAGGTATTCTGTGAGACCATAGATGGCAGAGCTTTGTAGACTAGAAAAATCCACATCCAGAAGATGCATGTAGTCCTGTGAGGACAAATTTCTGCTTCTTCCACGGCTCACTGAATGACAGAAGTAGCTCAGATGTCATGCTAATGGAACTTGCTGGAAATCTGTCCTCTGAGGTGCTGGGGGAAGCTGTTCATGGAGAGACAGCTCACCAGAGACACTGCTCCGAGACTGGAGATTTGGAAGAATGCTGGGAGAAGCTGACCACTGCATACTACTGACCACCCAGGCCCTGGAGAAGCTGGGAGTGCAGCTGAAGCCTGCCAAGAGAGCGCTGGGCCAAAGAGGCCACACTTTTCCCTGCACTCTCTCCAGCGCCCTCTACTGACCAAACCTCAGTGTCAGATGGCAAAGGGAAAAAAACCGATTCCAAGGGGGCTGTCTTTTCATAGAAGAGGCGAAAAGGGTGAATCTGGAACTGAGAGACAACAGATCAATAGCTGGAAATTATTTGAGATAAGAATATAATAGAAATAGCAGGTTCAATAAGACATTGAGTTTGAAGTTACTGTCAAGACCATGTTTGGTAAGCAGAAGTCTGGATGCCAAGCCAGAATAGATAGGACATGTAATTACCTGGACATGGATGGTAGAGAAGCCACAGGATTGATCAGAGAGAGATGTAGAGTAATGGACCAAAGACGGAATCCTGAGTAATAACAAATAACATTTAAGGAATGATCCTGAGAGAAGCAGGAGAAGTTAGAGTAATTTTTGAGAAGCCAAGTGCGCATAGAGTCTTGAAAAGAAAATGGCTGTCATGGAGTAAGGTTGACAGTGGGGTAAATCATTGGTTTCTAAAGGGCCTTATTAATGGAGTGATGCACTGAGGGGAAATCACCACGTTTGGCACCAAGTTGATTCTGAAAGGGATGTGGAAGTGTTGGAGAATGGTTTGTGGAGAATCTTTTAATAAACTTTTAAAAGATAATTTGCACAGAATAATGTTGATTATCAGGAAGGAAGAACTTGGGAAGACCTTAAAAAAAAAAAAAGAGTTGGTTGAATTTGGTTGTAGGAGTAGATGTGGAGAGTTAGGCCAAAAATTCAGAATGACTGGGCTGGGTGTGTGAGTGAATAGTGGTGCCATTCATGGGGAAAGGAAACAGAGGAGTTGTTTATTGCAAAGGATTATTGACATTCCGGGGAGCTCTGACGGTGGGTTGCTGAGGTATCTGACCCACAGCTGGAACAGTACTTCAAGAAACCAGAAGCATTTTCGGTGACTCAAGAGGTGGAGTCAGGAGGATCACAAGTTCAAGACCAGCCTCAGCAACTTAGTGATGCAGTGTGTAACTTAGCGAGACCCTGTCTCAAAAAAGTGGGGAGGGCTGGGGAGATGGTTCAGTGATTAAGTGCCCCGGGTTCATTTCCCAGTACCAAAAAAAGAAAGAAAAGACACTAACGGCATTTTCAAAACATACCTATTTTAAGAATTTTTTCCTTTCTTCAAATTTTTGTCTTTTCCACTTGCCAGGAATAAGGTTAAGTATTCTGATGGTGGAAGACATCTCAAAAAGTAGCAATTGCAAAGAATGGATGGTTTGTGGATTGAGAAAATGTACAAAATGAAGTAGAGGGAAATAGAAATCTGTTGGAGGGGACTGGGACCCTGATGTGGGTGTGCTGAGCAGGCCGTGAAAGGCTGGGGCTGAGCCGCAGCATGGAGTCACGGGGTCACTTACATGGGGTGACTTGATGCCTTGGTTGTGAGAAAAGTCTAAAGGCAGCAAGTAGGTAGTGAAAAGGCAGACAGCAAGTCTTAGTGTGTTCCCGTGCTGAAGAGTCTTGAGGTGGAGAGAAGTGGAGAAGTGCCAGTCCAGCCTGGCATAGCGAGGGCATTGTCCACTTTTAAAAAGATTGGTTGAAATAGGATGGTAGCCTAGGCACTGGCTATTTCCAGCCAAGATTTTGCAGAAGTTTTCATTAGAAAAGATTGCAGGAACAGTCATAATGAGGAGATGATCGACAGAGAAGGCTTTAGGGAAGGCAGGATGTTGTCCTGGCTGGTCTCCAGTTTCACCGTCTGCCAAAAAGGGGCAATAATAACAAAGAGTTAAAATCATTTAAATCAGTGCACACACCGAGTGGGACCCAATGTGAAGTGAGCACTTACTAAGTGGTGGCTTGTCAATGTGGGTAGTTTTTATTTTCATTGTTTGTTAATGGACAGTACGTTTTTATTGTAAGATTAAGCAGGGGCTGAGACTGTAGCTCAGTGGTAGAGCACTTGCCAGGCAAGTGTTCTACCTTGTTTGATCCTTAGTACCGCATAAAAGTAAATAAGTAAAATAAAGGTATTCTGTCCATCTCCAACTAAAATAAATCTTAAAAAAATAAGATTAAGCAGATAAATGAAGGTGTCTTAAAGTATGTTTCTTAAGAATTCTTTTTAAAATGAGGTTATTAGCCACCTTCTGTTGACTAATTTACTTTTAATTTTACTTTTAAGTAAATTAGTTCATAAAAATAATAGTATCTGGTCTGGGGATATAGCTCACTTGGTAGAGTGCTTGCCTTGCATGCACAAGGCCCTGGGTTTGGTCCCTAGCTCCAAAATAATAATAATAATAGTATCTGCTAAAACTCAGCTTCACCTGTGAGGATTACAATATTTAGGAAATGCATAAATACTGCATTTCTCACATCTTTATCAAGGTAGAAGTCATTTCAGTTTGGAAAGTGTTTTGTTTTCTGTTGTAAATTTATCTGAAATCAGTTAGGTTGTCTGTCCTCCTATGGATAACATAGTGTCCTGCATTTATTAGGAATGTTACAAGACAAACGAATGGAGATAGATAAACATAGCCTGAATATTGGTGATTACAATCGAACGGTCGGGAAAGGCCCTGGTTCTCGGCCTCAGATTTCCAAAGAGTCTTCCATGGAGCGCAATCCTTATTTTGATAAGGTAGGATTGTTTTTGATTTTATCTCTGTGACTAATAACCAATATACTTATTAGCCTAATATTTATGTTAATATTTTAGAACATTCAATGTGATATGAAATGTTATAATTTAGTGCCACATCTGTTAGTAGATTTATAGTTCATTGTCCCAGTTATGCCTCAGTTTAGCATAGGGTTGTGTTTATATTTCCTTCTTAATCCCATAAAATTGTTTGGCTCTTTTTATGTCCTCTAGAACCAACACTAATCTGATCTCTTCTGTTTTCTACCTGTTTCCTGTTGGTGCTGGGATGTCATGTGACTTCTCTTCTGTTCCTGCAATGATTTCTCCCTTCCACTTGTTTGCTTGGCTGGTGTGCACATCTTTCTGTCTGTCCAATCAGGATGGCATTGTAGCAGATGAATCCCAAAACATGCAGTTTATGTCCAGTCAAAGCATGAAGCTTCCCCCTTCAAATAGTGCACTACCTAACCAGGCCCTTGGCTCCATAGCAGGGCTGGGTATGCAAAACTTGAATTCTGTTAGACAGGTAAGTCCAGATGTGTATTTTAGGCTCTCTGTTGTATGATTTGTATTAGTGATAAGATCTCTCTTACATGTAGTTACTGTTTAAATCAGTAGTACAATATGGTCATGTGACGCCTGTCCCTAAAGAGTCCCACTGTTGCTTTGCCCTTTGTGTTCATAGAATGGCAATCCCAGTATGTTTGGTGTTGGAAACACAGCAGCACAACCCCGGGGCTTGCAGCAGCCTCCAGCACAACCTCTTAGTTCATCTCAGCCTAATCTCCGTGCTCAAGTGCCTCCTCCATTACTCTCCCCTCAGGTAAGTAGACTTCTATTATAGTCTCCTCCACTTACACCTGGAGAAGAACCTTGAATAATTTGATATTGAATGAGGTGACTAGTCAAGCATCAAAATATTTATTGGCATCTTTGACATGCTGTAAATTCTGATTAGCTACTACTACAAGAATGAAGAAAGTGAGTCAAAGATTTGTTCAAATCCAGAATACTATTTTTCTATAGAACACCTTGGGAGCAGGATAGCAACAAAGTAAAGCTGACTGATTTAAAATTCATCTCTCATCTTTACTTACCCCAAGAAAAAGTATGTGTTAGAAATACCAGCGTGTCACAAGAAATCAGATACGTGCTCAAAAGCTACTGGGCAGGGCAAAGTTGACTTCTGCGGCGCTACCAAAAAGAAGCCCTCGGGCCGCCCCTGGACAGGATGCCCGCCCAGGGTTTATCCCTAAGGCAGCACTGCCCTTGCTCTGCCAGGAGGAGTTCAGGGTTCCATGTGACTAATTTAAAATTGGGGAGGGCAAGGGAAAGGGCTGTAGTTATGACTGGATCCCCTCCCACACTGTGAGCATTATGATTGGAAGACAGAGGACAAGGGGGGGGTGCTCAAAATGGCTGCTTCAACTGCATGGTTTTGTGGCTTAAAATCAGCTCCACCCACCTACCCACTATGAAATTTAAGTTTCAGATTACAGCAAACACATTGCTTTTACATAGTAGGAAACTCAAACTACAGGAAAGAGAACATAAATTTTATACATAATGTGGATGATAAATTAGACAAATAAAGAGAGAAAGCTATCACCCCCCCCCTCCGTGAATAATTCACTAATTTAATTGTTATAATTAAAACATAAGGTACATTTAGTTAGTCTGAATTATGTTATCAACATTATTAATTTACCGTTGTGATCCTAAGGTTCCAGTTTCATTGCTGAAGTATGCACCAAACAACGGTGGCCTGAATCCGCTCTTCGGCCCTCAGCAGGTAGCCATGCTGAACCAGCTATCCCAACTAAACCAGCTTTCTCAGATCTCCCAGTTACAGGTAAGCAGAATAATAGCCACACATTTATTGAGTGTCTGCCGTGCTGCCGACCACTGGGCTCCTTGTGGGGAGTCCTGCAGTAATAAGGTGGGCAGAGTTGTAAGCTTGCATGGAGATGAACACCAGAGAGGAGTGTTTTGCACAGATGCTTTGAGAGGAGACCTGGCCACGTCTAAGATGGTGGGGGTAGGATCAGACAGTTCCTTCTGAGTTGAAAGCTTAGCTTGAGCAGCGCAGCTGGAAGCCAGAGTCCAAGGAAGAGGTTGCACTAGATGAGGGGGGTGGGACCCGTCAGCATTGGCATGTCAAGGGTCATGGGTCTATTGTAGAGTGGTGTGGTAGTGACAACCTTTTTGCCGTTTTCCCCCAGCGATTGTTAGCGCAGCAGCAAAGGGCGCAGAGTCAGAGAAGCGTGCCTTCTGGTAACCGGCAGCAGCAAGACCAGCAGGTAGCTCCGATTCTTCCACGTGCTGTGCTGTCCTGTGTTTCAGTGAACTCCTATCACTTCCATTATGACAAGAGACCTGAAAATTCTTTTATTAAAATATAATGAAGTATATTGTCAAGTCTGCAATTTGCCCATGAGTCGTATTAATTATTATACATGATGCTTCCCTTTCCTGCTGAGAAGGAAGTGAATTAAAAAATGAAAGGAATATGGATATATCTGCAAAGGCTTCCCCCCCACACATTGTTTCCCAATTGTTTTGCTATTTTAAGGGTCGACCTCTTAGTGTACAGCAGCAAATGATGCAGCAGTCTCGTCAACTTGATCCAAACGTGTTGGTGAAGCAGCCGACTCCACCGTCTCAGCAGCAGTCACTCCATCAGCCAGCCATGAAGTCTTTCCTTGACAATGTCATGCCTCACACTACACCGGAGCTGCAAAAAGGGCCATCACCAATAAATGCTTTCAGCAACTTTCCTATAGGTGGGTCTCTCCTGGGCCAGTGTGCGCTGGTGCCTGAGTGCCACAGCATGCGTCCTTCTCCTCCACCTTTACAGCCTCCCTTCACAGAAGCTGGCTGTGTCTCCTAGGTGCCTCTCCCAGGGCTGCCGGGCCCTCTTCAAGGTTCAGCCCATCTGGGTGCTTCAGGGAAGGTCTCTCTTCATTCAAGAAAATCACCTGTTTGAAAGTTTGAACTCATTTAGAGTTAAAATAAAGCAAACATTTCCTTTTAGGAGTCGAGCTTTCTTAGTTGTGGGGTATGAGGAGGTGGAGAGCTGACAAGAATTGTTATTAGAAACGGCATACTAGAGAATTTTTGTGCACTTACCGCTTTGGGGAAACAACTGAAAGTAGTCACCTGGTTTGCTAGTTGTCAGACCAGGGATTTGTAAGTACTTGCTGGTGTAAATAAGAACTGGGAGTGGAGAAGGCCTTTGTCACACGTAGCAGCTTCCCCCTCGTTTTTTTTCTTGTCCCGGGGATTGTGGGGGTTTTTTTGTTTGTTTGTTTTGTTTTTTATTCCTTTGATTGAATTTCAGCTTGTGATTGTTCGTACCATGTTTGTTTTGCTTTTCCTCTCTCTTTACCTGAACAACAGTTTCTTTTTTTTTTTTTTTTAAGAGAGAGAAGAGAAAAAGAGGATTTTTTAATATTTATTTTTCAGTTTTCGGTGGACACAACATCTTTATTTTATTTTTATGTGGTGCTGAGAATCGAACCCAGCGCCCTGCGCATGCCAGGCGAGTGCATTACTGCTTGAGCCACATCCCCAGCCCACAACAGTTTCTTTTAAACCATCTTGGTTGGTTGCTTGCCAACTCTGTTGAAAACCTAATTGTTAGTTCATCAGTGTGGTCTGGGCCGTGGACAAAGGTTGGGGCACGCTGTTGCCCCGCCTCTGCTTCTCTTTGGCTGGACTGATGTTGCCCCGGGCTCCCTGGTGTTGCCGTGGGCTCCCAGGGAACAAATCGCACCGAGTCCTTAAGATCATTAGCAGTTTGCATTTCGAGGAACCGTCCCTCTGTCCGTTACCTCTGTGGTTGGATACTTTTGATGGTGACTAGGTGACTAACATCTCTGGCACCTTTTGGGCTATAATAGCAGAGTTACATTGAAGTTAGGTACCATGTGGCCTATAAAACCCACGAACTATATGGACCTTTATTCTCAAAAAATTGCCAATTCTTGATCTGATCACGGGTATAAGAGCATAGATTTGGTCATTGCAAAAATGGGGATGATTTTAAAGAATTCAGAATGATTTAAAAGAATTTTTTAATAAAAGAACCAATACCACAAGAATACTCATCAAACCAAAGAATTAAAAGACATTTGATTTGAAACTTTAGAAAAAGAGCCCCTTGGGGTAGTATATTAAATAAGGATTTTGGCTCTCGATGGAAAGTCTTCAGTTTTTAACAAGCATTTTAGATGTTTCTGATGTTAATGGTCCCTGGGTCACATCTTTAAAAGCACTGCTTACTGGTCAGTGTCTAAGGTGAACTTCCGGCCTTATTCCAAGAGAGTTGGCCTGGCCTCATTAGCAAGTTGCAAGTAAATTGTGTCTCGGCCTGAGAGTCTCCCCCAGATGTTAGAGGAGGACATTTTACTTTTAAATGCCAGCATCCTTTGACGGTTAGCCAGCTGGAAATCGTTTAGTTTTCGAGTTAGAAGATAGCAACTGAAAGTGATGACATGTTCTTCATGCATGATCCTCCTGGGGAAGCACTGAGTAGCTACCTCCTATCAGTGGTAAACTTACAAACTTTATAATTCAACTCCCTGAGACTTTTTTCTCTCTTATTTTGCTGAGATTTAAACATGATTGAAGTTATGTGGAAAATAGTTATTCCATAGATGACATGGTATGAGCATTTCACGGGTTGAAAACATTGAACTGTGGGGTTGGAAGGGCTACTCCACAGTTAATTTGCATGTGCTTTCTATTGACCTAGCTGATCTCTTGCTCCCAGCCTTGTGTATGCTTGACCTCGGCCAAGAGTCCTGAGCATCTCTTCTGCCTGTGGGGCCTTTAGTATTTGACTCCCACATTTATATAATGCTATTTATTAAGGAGCATTAAATGGGATTGAAATATTAGATTAGTTATGTGTGTTTTTCTAGAAAAATAGTGTCTTGCCAGAAGGAAAATATGCTGTATTTTATAAGATTTTTTTAATTTTTAAGGCTTGAACTCGAACTTGAATGTAAATATGGATATGAACAGTATTAAAGAGCCACAGTCAAGACTAAGGAAGTGGACTACAGTGGACAGCATTTCTGTGAACACATCTTTGGATCAAAATTCCAGCAAACATGGTATATATTATGTTCTTATACTTTTAAAAAAAAATACACACACACACACACATATATATATATATTTGTAAACCAGCTAAATTTAGACCTTTATTTTTCTGTACATTTCAAAGCCAAATTATCTTAGATTTTTTTAAAACTTAAAACCAAAAAAGACTGTGCTTTATTAAGTCTTAGTAAAAAATAAGAGCCTTTAAATGAAAAGTAAAATTTACCTCTACTATGCTGTTTTGTAAAGGAGAGAGATTATGGGTGCTTTGTCAAAAAAAACTACTTCCCTTCTGATGATCATTTTGGTTTTTTTTTCCTACATGATTTATTGTTCTACATTTTTTCTTTTTTCTTTTTTTAAACATCTACTGGATTTACCCTGATATGTTCACAGTAGGGTATAAGAACTAGTTTATTTTCTTTTGATACATTTTCTTTATATATGTTGCTATGGGAATAAAGTAATAGATTTCGTATTATTGTCTTTTCTGTAGTTAATTTTTCGTATGGGGGATTGAACCCAGGAGCATTTAACCACTGAGCCCTTTTTATTTTTCATTTTGAGAGAGGTGTCCCCAAGTTGCTTAGGGTCTTGCCGAGTTACTGAGGCAGGCTTTGCAGTTCTCCTGCCTCAGCTTTCCAAGGCACTGGGATCACAGGTGTGTGCCATGGAGCCCAGCTAGCTAGCTTCCCTTTTCTTTTAGGACGCAGTAATTTTTGTTTGTCTCACTGCTTAGTAGACATTGATGCATGATGCAGCATGAATCTGGGAAATCCCTCATGGAGACTGGGCTTCTTCAACGAGCAATTTCAACCTGCACAACCAGCGAGCAGGAAAATGGCAGCCTTCTTCCACAAGTGTTGGTTTTACTTACATTTGAACAAAACTGTTATTTTTTTTACTAGAGTAAGGTACCCTAATAGAACTTGGATATTTTATTTAGTTTATTAGTTTTTTTCATGTTTTTATTTCTTCTGCATAAATACCAAAGAGTGAAATATCACATCCATAGAGTGGATGAATGTTTAACTCTTTTTTTTAATTGGCAACAGAAGTTGTATATTTTTAGTGCTAAACATTTTAACATGTATATTGTGGAATGGCCTTCACTCTTTTGTTAAAAAAAAATATTAGCTTCTCACTGTATATCCAAGAGAGATCCTTAAACTACCAGCCCCGAAGTTATCTCTTATCATATTGAAAATAATTTTTTAAACCAACATCTATTAAAACATACAGAAAATGCCATGTTGAAATTGAGCTTTCTGTCCTCTCTCTGAAATATGAAGGCCTGGTGACACCAAGCCACGTCCTCAGAGGCTGAGATGTTCCAGGCCCCTCCCTGGGCTGCTCCCTCAGTGCACGCCTGTCTCTTGCTTTCTCTGCCACAGTCCTTTGCCATTTTGCTTTACTCTGCTTGGAAATATTCTTTTTTCTTTTTATGCCCCTTAACCTTCTTTCTCCCTCCCCTTATTGGAGAAATATTTCCGTTAATTCATATTTCTGAAGGACCATAGAATTTTTTCGGCAGCTATCCTTCTGATTAATCCCATTGGCAATTCTGTGTGCCCTGGAGTAGAAGTGGGAACACAGAATAGGCTGCTTTTCCACCCAGTAGAGGAGTATGAGTAGTTGTAAGAAGGGGTGACCTGGTAGCCTTGAGGGGGCTCACGTCAGAGAACAGCTGGTTACAGGCAGCAGTCCTTGACATGCACGGGTCGTACAGTGTGCAACGCCATCTTCAGTGGGTTTACTTCTTACCCCTGTTTTATTGAAGCTCAGGCAGCTAATACATTCACTGTTGATCAGAGAAGAAAGGGTAAACCCAAGAGATTCCTTTCTCGGAGGTTCTTGGGAGCCACATTAGGTTCAGTGATTTGTTAGAAATCACATAATTCAGAAAAGCTTTTGTCCTCACAGTTATAGTTGATTACACAAAAGAGCACAGGTTAAAGTCAGCAGAGGAAAAGGGCACCTAGACTAGAATCCAGGAGAAAGCAAGAGCAGGCTTCCTGTCGTCCTCCCCCAAGGAGTTGCAGGAGAGCACTTCATTCTCCCGGCAAGGACGTGTGACACATGCCCAAAACACTGCTAATAAGAGATGCCAGCCCGCCAGCCGTGGTGTCCAGAGTTTCCATCAGGGTCGCTCATATAGGCCTGCAGAGTCTTGGCTCCTATCTCTAGACCCTCAGAGGCCAGGCAAATACTGCCTGGCCCTGAGCCCCAGGCCTAACACAAGTGTTCACCAAAAGTCATGTTGTCTTGCTGTGTCTGGGAGGACCAGACCTCCGGTGTACAGAGCTGCTCTTCATTCTGCGGGCTTAGAAGATCCCAGAAGCCAAAAGCACATAGAAGTATGCAGTCTGGGCCTCGTGCTGACCCTTCATGTACATGACAGTGAGAAAGAGCAGACTTATTAAGGGAAGTAGAGGAAAATTGAAGCAAGGACAATTGAGAAGGAAATTCCACATCGAGGAAGGGTTGGACCAGGATGTCTGGGACACTGGATGGGTCTAAGATGGACTTCTGGTAGTTTATAAAATCCCCTTTCCTGGGCTGGGGGTAAAGTTCAGTTGGCAGGGCTGGGGCTGTAGCTCAGTGGCAGAGTGCTTACTGCGCACTCGTGAGGCACTGGGTTCGATCCTCAGCACCACATAAAAATAAACAAATAAAATAAAGGCATTCTGTCCATTTACAACTACAAAAAAATTTTTAAAAACCAGAGTACTTGCCTCGCATGCACAAGGCCCTGAGTTCAATCCCCAGCACCAAAAAAGCAAACAAACAAAAAACCCTTTCCCTTCATTTTAATCTTGGAGTTGGGGAGAAGTTAAGGAAAGATTTCCAAGAGGTCCATGATTTCTTAAGTCAAGATGGGAAAAATAAACAGGAATTGGCCAGGCCCCAGGCAGGGAGGGGATGAAAGGAAAGGAAACCGTGGTAGGTAGGAGAGGCTAGAACTTTTTAAGTACTTTAATTAATCTATTGAACAGTTTGAGTGTTATCTCCTATATGATGGGAAACCTGAGTTTTAAGCTAGGAGGTGACATGCTCAGATTTGTGTTCTTCAAAGATTCGCCTGGCTACCGTATGGAGACCAGTTGGGAAGTTTCTCTGGCCTAATCCAGCGCTGAGTCCCATGAAGAGAAGCCTGACCTAGCACAGGCATGGCTCGGGAGCTGCCTGAGCACAGAACTGATAGGACCTGGTCACTTCCAAAGATAACAGGAGCAGCAGAGCCAGGAGAGGCACTTGTGTCCCAGCTTACGCAGCCTCAGGTCTATGTTCCTATGCTTAGTAGCAAAAGCACGATTTTTTTGTGGCATTTCTTCTCTTCTATTGGGTTTTATCATCAAACTTTGACTGAATTTGGCTTACAAGTAAGTTTCCTAGATTATAGATTTTAAAAAATTTTTTTTTAATATTTTTATTTATTTATTATGTGGTACTGAGGATCGAACCCAGGGCACGTGCTAGGCAAGCACTCTGCTACTGAGCCACAACCCCAGCCCCTAGATTGTAGATTTTTTTATTTCTTAGGTTGATGATTATCCGAAGTTATTATATAATAGGAGAAATATTCTATTACAGACAGACCTAGATTCTAGGTTGATTTGCCACTATGGAATATCACACTGGAATTTTTCTTAAGGATGAGAATGGGGAGTTCAAACTATGGAGAAGTGAATGGCAAAATAAACATAGACCCTGGTTTTAGACCTAGATCTGCTACTAATCAATTCTGCTATTAATTAGCTGCTGGCAAGTAACTTAACCTTTCTGAACTTCAGGATTCTCATATGCAAAACACGAACCGTAGCAGCTCCTGTTGGGGTGTGTGGAGGGTGAATCTCAAGCCCTTGAGCACTCAAGCAGGGTTGGGCCCACGAGTGAGTATTAGGTCTTAGCCGTCATTATTACCGCCTTCGCTGTCACCTCGTGAGGTTCCCTGCTCAAAGACAGAAAGTTCTCCAGTAAATTCATTTCCAGTGCTGAAACTAAATCTACCACGTAATTTTTCTGATGTTTTTCCTTTACATTAATTAATAGAATACTTAACTTTCTATGTCCAGCATTCAGCCCAGCTGCTGGCACTGTTCCACTGAGAAATGATGGGCTTTACCACTTGCAGTAAAATTTTAGTCATTATAAGTCGTGTTCATGTTAAGATGGGTGCGAAGAATTAATCGTAAAAAACAGTCATTTCTTTGTGAGGCTGAGCTCTCCTTCCGTGGGACTTCGCGCTCATCGTAGCAGCGTATCTTAGAAACCGAGAGTCACAGGAGGGCGCGCAGGGTGGCATTGGAACTGTCCTGATGGCAAAGGCTGTGGCTTTGTTTTCCCTGCTTGTATGTTATCTTGTAGGCTTTCCTGACCTCCGTCCTTCATCTTTGTCGAGATTCTTGTACTCCACTCTGTACTCCTCACCTCCAAAAACACGAGTCTCTCTGACAAAGTGTTCACTGTACTAGTTCTCATCTAGGCCACAATGCCAGTGTTGAACGATTCTGTGCTCCGTTCTGTCACTTACCGACGGTTGTGGGCTTCGTGCCCTTGAGATGAAACCTGCTGTGGTCATTTTCAGGCGTTCTTCAAGTGAGATGTTTCGATCTTAGTAAGTAGGAGTTAGAAGGGTCCAGCCTCTGTCAGAGCGCAGAGCCGGCTTTACCTTTGCCTCCCCACAGAGTCTCCAAGACGCAGTTTGAGACCCACGTAGAACTCCAGTCGAAATTTTTCTTACCATATTTGAGAAACTCTAAGAGGTAAATTTTGTGGTATGTTTTGCTCACGTTCACTATTGTTTTTCATTTCTTAGGTGCTATTTCAAGTGGTTTCAGGCTGGAGGAATCCCCATTTGTTCCCTATGACTTTATGAACAGCAGTTCTTCACCAGCCAGTCCTCCAGGTTCAGTAGGAGATGGCTGGCCACGTGCCAAATCGCCCAACGGCTCTAGCAGTGTTAATTGGCCACCAGGTAAAGTGCCGATGGCCCGTTCTGTGAGACACTGCTCCTGGTGCAGTTTCGCTGCATGTAGGCTTCCTAGTGGTCTAGCCCGGTGCATGTTGGGGCCATCTCTGCGATCTGACGAGGAGCGTGGAGATGATGGGAGAAAAGGGGGACGTAGAGTCAGTCTGTGTGGTCCCAGCCCTCTGCTTCTACTAGTGACTGTGGCATGAGCCTCTGACCAGCATGAAGAGTCCCAGAGGAAGCCTGCAGTCACTGTTCCTCGGCTGTGTCGGGGACTCTTGCCAGGGTGTTCGGTTATACTAAGAAATTGCCAAAAATGAATCCCTTCCCTGCTTGGTCCTGCTTGAGTTGTGGCTTTGCATTTTATCATGAAGCACTTTATTTTACAGCTTAAAAATATATAAACTAGAGAAATTATGTCAGTCACAAAAAATTTACAAGCTAATCATAGAGAATAACTCATACTACAATAATTATATTATCACACTCATCTTTTAAGGTGTTGGATAAATTGGAAAATATTTGACAATTGTATAGGATTTAGAAATAAGATTTGGATATTTAGTAATGTATTATAAAGTGATGATTAAGCCTTGAATTAATTTTACATTTCTGCTTTTAGAATTTCGCCCTGGTGAGCCATGGAAAGGTTATCCAAACATTGACCCCGAAACTGACCCTTACGTCACTCCTGGCAGTGTCATAAACAATCTTTCAATTAATACTGTGCGGGAAGTTGACCACCTCAGGGACAGGAACAGTGGTACGTACAGAGCACAAGTCTTGTCTTGTGATGCTCAGAGGCAGGTTCTGAGAAGGCTTTGAGTGGGTGTGAACCTTGGGGTAGCAAAAGCCCCTCTGAGCTCTCAGCCCCGACACCCACGGGGATCGTGAACCTGGAACACGGTTCTCGGGTTTCCCGAGTGACCGCGGCCACTTTTGAGATGATGAGGATTTGTCAGCACTTGCTCTGCAGCAGCAGTGCCAGCAGCTGAGGCGCATCGTCGTGGGGTGTGTGTACTCCACGTACTGAAGGGCCGCCCTGGGGAACAGGCTTGGTGTGAACACAAGTCACTCAGGATCACTGTAACCCAGGCCCAAAATCACCCGGTTACCTACCACACCTCAGGGCTTCTGCAGGTAACCCATTCATGAGGAAAGGTGAATGGAATTAATTGTTTTGGTTTTGGTCTTTGTACTGGGAATTGAATCCAGGCCTCTTCACCACCGAGCTACACCCCTGGTACCTGCCCCACCCCCACCCCCAGGGATTAAACCCAGGGCCTCAAACATGCTAGGCAAGCTTTACTACCAAGCTGCCTCCCCAGACCAAAAAATATTTTGTTTCTATAAAATACAGTCTCCCAGGCAGACATGGTAGCACACACCTGTGATTCCAGCTACTCAGGAGACTGAGGCAGGAGGATTGAAAGTTCAAGACTATCCTGGACAATTTAGTGAGACCCTGTCTTAAAAAATACAATTGAAAAGGGCTCGAGAGGTAGCTCAGTGGTAGAGTGTTTGACCAGCATGTGCAAGAAAAAAAGTATGTGTGTATGCACACATACATAACACATGCATGCACGCGCACACACACACACTGTTCCTTCAGTATACAAAGAAAAATACGTTCAATATATAATTTGTTAAGAATAACAAGTGTTTGTGCATCATAGTGGTCAGAAAAGAATCCTCATCATTCCAGAATGGCTGCATTTAAAAGACCTTCACAGAGGTAAAGTTTGTACTTTCACAAAAAATGTCAGGAGGCCCAAAACCAAGCAGAAGCCCTCGCTGCGTGTGGTTAATAGAAGAAGCCCACGGCTCACAGAAACGGGCTTCTGTTTGTGTGTGTTTGCAGAGGGTCCGGAGGTTGGGGGTGGAGGAGGTGATCTGAGCGGTAAACAGTGTGGGTTGGACGTGGGGGCCAGTTAGGGGCTGTCCTGGTGACCATGTGCTTATGAGGTCGAAGCTGAACCTGAGGAAAGGGCTTTTTTTTTTCTCAAGTGGGAAGAAAGACGGGGTTTTGGAGCCTGCGCCTGGGGCCTGCTAGAGAGGGTCCCACCCACTGGCTCAGGGAGCGCCAGTGGCCGGTGCTTGGGTGGGCTGGCCGGCCTGGGAGGTCACACAGCTTAGGGCGGGAGCTGCGTAGCGGGGAATGGCCTTCCGTTCAGAGCCTGCTGGGAAGCAGAGCGGCTGTTGGCTGGCCTCTGCCCACACCTCACTGCCAAGAGCATGTGCCCCGTCTGGTGGGGACGGGCAGGGGGAAACAGCCAGCAGCTCTGGGCATGCTCTCCTGAAGGCAGGCAGGAGGCGCAGTCTGGGGTCTGGCCTGCTCACCACGCCCCCTGCCCTGTTCCTGGGGTGGGCTGGGGCACCTGGACTTCTGGGTGCCTTTACTCATGTCAAACGCGTCCCTTGCTCTGGCCGCTAATGGAACTCTCCCTCTCTAGGGTCATCCTCATCCTTGAACACCACGCTGCCTTCAACTAGTGCCTGGTCATCCATTCGTGCCTCCAACTACAACGTTCCCCTCAGCAGTACAGCACAAAGCACTTCAGGTGGGCCGCACAGCCCCGCGCCCCTCTTGGGAGGAGGTGTGGTGTGGTCACAGTCTGGGGCCGTTGTGTTAATGCCTTCTTCTTTTAACCCGTCTCTTATTTTCGGGAGGGAGGAGACTGTATTTATGATCCTGGGACAGTGTCTTTAGCGGCGTTTGTCCCTGTTTGACTGTTCCGTGCGCTGCAGTCCCCTCCTGAGACCCTGGGCCTTCCCCAGGCAGCTCGCTGACAGCGCCTGGCTCTCGGCACTCCACAGCGGCTCTTGGGCTGTCTGCAGTGGAGGACCTTTAAATTTCCAGTCCTTTACAGGCTGGTACTCGTGTAGGAGAGGGTGAACGCGGATTTCAGCTTGTCCCAGGGCTGTTGATGTACTTGAGAGTCGGGTGGAGTTGAATGCTGTCACCGCTCACAGATGCCCAGTCTGCTTCTGCTGCAGCCCAGGAAGGAACTGGGCCACTGCGGCCACTCTTCCTGCCATACTTTTAGAAGCACAAAAACTACCGAGCTACATCCCCAACCCTTTCTATTTTTTGTTTTGAGACAGGGTCTCGCTGAGTTGCTGAGGCTGGCTTTGAACTTGCAGTCCTGCCTCAGCTTACCATGTGCCTGGTCCCCGCATACCCACTTGGCACTGAGCATGCCTCAGGAAACTTTTTTTTTTTTTTTCAAGTGAAAACAGAGTCTTAGATTTGGATCTTGGCTCCCCATTGGACCCGAAGGCAAACACTCACCCTCAGATCCTCAGAATGTGTGCCAGGGTCAGAGGTAGCATCTGAAAGCACCTAGCGGCCTGGGCTTGGCATCAAGGCGGGCAGCTGGTGATATCTGCTGGATGACTCCTTGAGTTGGGGCCACTTATGCAGTTTTTTCCCCACGAATTATTGACAGAGTTGTAAGGTGTGTTTAATGGGCTGCGTGGCTGTCTTGAGGGGCTTGCCTGTGGTTATTAAGGTAAGGAGTTCACAGTTGCCACTTTAGAGCAGTTCAGAGCGTTTCGTGTGTTAATTTCATTTAACACCGTTTTACACAGGGGAAGCTCCTAGGTTCTTATGTTAACAACAGATGACAGTGTGAGTGTCTGAGAGGAGGGACAGCTTCCTTTGGGCTTTTTGGTTTTCTTTAGCAGCTTAGTTTCATTTGGACTTTGCCTTTTGTTTCGTTTTGTTTTGTTCTTCTCTGGCACTGGGAATTGAACCCTGGGGGATGCTCTATCACTGAGCTGTGTATTCCCAGTTCTTTTTTGTTTTGAGACAAGGTCTTACCAAGTTGCTGAGGTTGTCCTTAAACCTGGGATCCTCCTGCCTCAGCTGCCTGAGTCGCTGGGCTCACGGCACTGTACCACCATACCTGGCTGATTTGGGGGTTTAGATGTCTGTGTGCGTTTTTTTGATTTGCCTTTTGTGGGACAATAGATGTTATTTAAATATTCTCATTTCTCCAACATTATTCCACCTCTCTGCTCTCCCCCACCCGCTTTGAAAGCAGCCAGAAATAGTGATTCCAAATTGACATGGTCTCCTGGTTCAGTCACAAACACCTCTCTGGCTCATGAGCTGTGGAAGGTCCCTTTGCCACCTAAGAACATCACTGCTCCGTCCCGCCCGCCTCCGGGACTGACTGGTCAGAAGCCGCCCTTGTCTACGTGGGATAATTCTCCCCTTCGTGTAGGTGGAGGATGGGGAAATTCTGACGCCAGATATACCCCAGGTAGGAGGAAGTGCGAGAGCTGGGGTCGGGGGGTCTTTGCTGAACACTCAGCAGCTTTACCGAGACCCAAACCTCTCTGACTCCCGTCTCTGGGAGCCTTGTTCCAGTGTCCTTAACGTTTTCCCCGAGACCCAGAGCAGTCGGTCTCGTCTCTGAGCTGAAAAATGACTAATAACACGTCATAATATTTCCTGATCTGATCTGGTTTGTAATTTCTGATCCTTAGGTGAACGGCTGCAATAAAACTTTCGGCTTTTGGGGGGAAAGTGTTAATTATGTTTTTTTAAAAAAAAAAAAAACACTGGAGGTCATGCTGTGCTACCAAATGCAAATCAGCACAATGAGGGGAAATGAGAAAATGACCCCAGAGCCCACCCTGCAGGGTTCGTGGACTTGAGCAGAGTCAGGAAGCTTTGAAGGGAAGCCCAGAGAGCAGGGACAGCCTCCCTGGAGGCCGAGAGGCCTGAGCGTGCGCTCCCTGTTGGGTTGTAGAGACTCAGCAAAGGGGCCGCTGTGGGGTAGGGCAGGGTGTGTCCCAAGGATGAGCCAGAGGAGGTGGGTGGGGTCTCGACCCTGGGGGGGAGCTCCTCTGCGGGGAGCCTGGGCCGGCAGGAAGGCCAGCCAGGACTCCTGAAGTGACCCGTCCCCTTAAAGCTTCACACCCTGGGTGGGTCCCACCTGCAAAGCCATCAGACCCAGCCTCCCAGAGGTCGGAGCCGCCAGCACCGGGAGCTGCGCCTGGACTGGGGACGAGCTCCTGTGGGCCGAGGAGGAGGCCGTGGGCAGGGGCGGCGCGGCTGGGTGTTCGGCTCATCTGTCAAGTGACTCATTTGGGCTGTTTGAGGCCATGGTCTGGGAAGACTGACTTGTCCCTTTTTCCGCCCCCGCCCCCCACTAGGTTCCAGCTGGGGTGAGAGCAGCTCAGGGAGAATAACAAATTGGCTTGTTCTGAAAAACCTTACACCTCAGGTAAGGCTGGGTGGAGGGCCGGCAGGGCGCGAGCAGGCGTCGTCCTACTGGCAGCAGGGCCTGCGAGGCAGTGAGGGCCTGGCGGAGGAGAGCCAGGCCGTCTCCAGCTCCTCTGGTGGCAGGCCGTCATGGTCCCCTGGGTTCACAGGTCTTGGGTTCAGGGAAGCCAACCAAAGTCAGGGATTCCTAGGCGTCCCCTGGACGGTCCAGTGGGGCTCAGCAGAGTGTGTCCACGTGAACCGGGGCAGGCGATCCTCGTCCTGCCTGTGGAGAAACGCTGTTCTGCCCTTTAGTTTCCTTGGCCCCTGGTCCACCCTGCGCAGAAGCAGTGCCCTGGTGAGCCCTTCCTGGGATGGTTGAGAGGAGAGGAGCCCTAGCAGGGACAGTGACCACCTGAGGGGCGCCTCCAGGAGCTAGAGGTCACAGAGGGCAGGTCTGGGATGTCTTCCCCGCTGGCCCCACAACCTCTCATTGCCCTCCCACTGCTTCCAGATCGATGGCTCAACTCTGCGTACCCTGTGCATGCAGCATGGCCCGCTGATCACATTCCACCTGAACCTCCCACACGGAAACGCTTTGGTCCGCTACAGTTCAAAGGAAGAGGTAGTGAAGGCACAAAAGTCTCTGCACATGTAAGTGCCCCGGGCTCCTGCTGGGGAGGGCTGGGAGTGGGGTGGAAGCACAGCCTGGTCCTGGGTGCCGCTCCCGAGGGGCTTCTCCCCAGAATTGCCCCACGGTTCTCTGGGATCCAAGGTCGGGATTCCTGAGGAGGAGAGTCCGACAGGGTCAAAATGGCCCTGGAGCCAGGCACCTGCAGTGCAGCTACTCAGGAGGCCAAGGCAGGAGGCTCAGTGGAGGCCAGGAGTCTGAGAACAGCCCCAGACAACATAGTGAGACACCCTGTCTCCAAAAAGAATCAACTGGAAAGTCTCTTGTGCTGCCCATGACAGACAGACAGGCCAGGTGTCCCCCCACAGCCTGTGCCCGGCCGTCCTCCAGGGCCCGTGCTCCTTGAAGGAAGGGCACACCAGCGTGTGGCGTGTGCCCCCCTCCCCGTGTCTGTGACCAGGAAGGCCCCCCACGGGAGGCCCTCACGCTCTCTGCCTTCTGCTCTAGGTGCGTCCTGGGGAACACGACTATTCTTGCTGAGTTTGCCAGTGAAGAGGAGATCAGTCGTTTCTTTGCACAAAGTCAGTCTCTGACCCCTTCTCCTGGCTGGCAGTCCCTCGGGTCCAGCCAGAGCCGGCTGGGCTCCCTCGACTGTTCCCACTCCTTCTCCAGCCGGACCGATCTCAATCACTGGAATGGTGCTGGGCTGTCGGGAACTAACTGTGGAGACCTTCACGGCACTTCCCTCTGGGGGACCCCACATTATTCCACAAGCCTGTGGGGTCCCCCAAGCAGCAGTGACCCCCGGGGAATTAGCAGCCCATCCCCCATTAACGCTTTCCTTTCTGTTGACCACCTGGGTGGGGGTGGGGAGTCCATGTAGGGTGTAGTTGTAGACTCACAAACTGTGACCTCAAGATGCGAGAGATGGAGCACTAAGTTGGGCTCGCCGCCTGCAGCCAGGGGCCACCTGTGGGAACAGCTGTTCTCTGCACATTTTCCACTTTGTTTTCCCCAAAACATATCAGTTTGAATACTTGAATCATGCAGGCCAATATTATAATGTGAAAAGGTATCTATCTATTTACACTCCCAAGTAGCGCCATACATGCTAGACCATATAGAATGAGCTCACTCGTGTATATTCATCATGTTTAGCCTTGGATTCATTCTTCCTTTCTTCTTTCTGTTTTTTTCTCCTCCCTCCCCACCCCCCCTTTCCTTTTTTTGCAAAACCATTTTTTGGGCTGATAATGTATGAGCTTTTACCTTTGCACTGAATGATGCTCTCTCCGTCTAATCGGCAATATGGGGGGGCAGCTGTTCCAGTGTAAATGTTTACTCAAGGATGTTCTTAAAGGTGTGCGCTCTCTACTATGCCTTGATGTTGCCTACCTTGTTGTGGTATCGTGGAGTTTAAAAGATCAAGTTATGATACTGACTTAGGATTATTAATGAAAGTATTGCACCAGTTTTTTCATGTTGTAAAACTAAAGAATTTCGCTCTGCAGTTTGAAAAACTGTGGCCACAGCTGTGACTTGCAGCCCACCTGCCACCCAGGACGGGCCCTGCACTTTGAATAGGCTTTCCATTTTGTTTTGAAGGTTCTCACGCTGAGCCTTCTTGTTTACAGATTTTTTTGTTTGTTTTTTGAGAAAAAAAAAATGTTTACTCTTCCATCATTTAAAAAAAAATTAAAAAACAAAAAAAAAATGGAGGATGATTTAAAAGATGCTTTCTATCTCTGGGAAAAAAGGAGCAGCATTTGGCCATGTTCTTTCGTTTTTCTATTCCTGTCCTAAATCAAAGAGCATGGTTCTCAGGAAAACCAGTTCCCCAGTTAAAAAAAAAAAAAAAAAAAAAAAATCCTTGTAGTTTCTTATAGGAAAAAAAGAGACCCCCCCCCCAACTTTTAGCACTGATACTACGTATTGCTCTGTTAAAGAATTTTCTCTGCCAAAAAAGAAAAAAAAAAGAAAAAAATGCTTAAAGCTGGAGTTGGACATTCTGCTTTCAGATGCTGTCTTTTTCTTAGTGATGATGGTTTGCTAATAATCAATAGGTGATGATTTTTGTAATCCCATCAAGTGGCTCTCTGTTTCTGCTCTCTTGTGACTGTGTTAATGTTTAACTGTTGTACCTTAAAGCCGAAATCAGTAACTATGCATACTGTAACCAAGGTATTGGGCCTACAGAGTTGTTTGTTGTATAAAGAAAATTTTAAATGTTGTTGCAAACTAACGAGTTACATCATTTTTAAATTTCTCCCCCCGCCCTTTTTCGCCCACAAATGGTATTATAATGCTTGCTTAGTCAAAGAAGAGAGACTAAACAAGGGTAAAAATTTTAACAGTACAGAATTTGCCATCATTTCATTGCCTTGATTCTAACTGTTTGTGTCCTAAGATGCAAAAGAAGTCAGTGGCTTTTAACTGTTTACAAATAGAATGTGATTGTAAATGTACAGTTCGGTTGTGTTGAATTATGAACTTTCTTCAGATATAATAAACCATGACTTTTTGGCTGCTCAACATTAATTGTCTTTTTTGTGGATTTATTTGTAGGCTCTTTTTTATAATGAAATTTGCAGAGTTGCTGTGTGTGAGGGTTCTCACAGAGCAACTGGTTAAAAATCTAAGCAAATATTTGAACATTTTACCTGAACTTATCCACAATTTCACCCTGAAACAATGTGAGAACAATGGGAAACTGTAGCTCGCTCCTTCCTACCCTCTTTGAGCATCTTTGGGATCTTGTTGCTCAAAACCTCCTCTGTGACTTCATCTCCCCACCATTTGTGCCCATCTCAAGCCTCAGCAAGAGACCGTTTGGAACATGAAGCTTAATGACTTGACGTGTGCTAGTGTTAAACTTCCATACCTCTGTCACACGGTGAGGAACGCCGCAGCCTGGACTGGCCTTCTCTCCCCCTCCGGCCCACGCTCCGCCGCAGGAGCCCAGGGCAAAACCTGTGTCTGTATCTCAGTGTGTGGTTCAAATCAGCTCCGCTTGCCAGGGGGGAGCTCATGTTGGACGCGTAACCTAAGCAAATGTCGTTCAGTGCTTTCAGTGTGTGTTGACTTCCATACTGGTTTTTCCAAAAACCAAAGGTAGCTTTGAAAAACCACGTCTGGAGATGTTTGGAACTCACGTTAAGCTGATGACCTTTGGGGCTTTGAGTAGTATATAATTGACTTCATAACTGCGTTCATTGTATTGTTAAAGTGTTTGGGAGATTTTTGCGCTTGTTATGTGGAAATAAAGTGTTTGATTTAAAAAAAAAAAACAAACCCTTTCAAGTGGTCCTGATTCTTTCTTCGTCCTTAAATAACAGCGGCTCTTTTCCCCAAGCCACCCATACCTCCCACTGCCTGCACCTGGATCTGGGCCACAGGCCACTCCCCTGCCCCTGGACATCCCACGTGGCTCTGCTTGGCCCCTCTGGTCCCGCCCCGCTCCCCCAGGGGACCCACCCAGACCCACCCCACCCGGGACAACAGGGCTCTCCTGTGCACGGACCCTGTCACCAGCGGGCCCCTCTCCCAGTGCTTGCCACAGATGACCCCTGATCACAGACCCCAAGTCCTGGCCTGGGCCACGAGGTGAGGCGCAAGCTCTCCCTGGCCCTCCCTCACCCAACCGTCCCTGCTCCAGTTCTGCCAGTGGATGAGCCGGGAAAGATGTGGAGGTCACGGTCAGGTCACTGTCAGGTGCAGTGGCGGAAAGGTGGGGGTTGAGATGAAGGGGGAGTTTGCCTGGAGACTGTCCTGAGCGGGTGAGCATAACGTTCAGCTACCGACACGGCACACCTTGGGACCGGGCTCCAGAGCTGCTCCTGCTGATCCTTAGACTTTGGACGTGAGAGGTGGCACTTCTGAACAGGAGCCAGAATCGGAACCCAAGTGAACCTTGAGAACCCCCTGCAGAGACCAGGCCTTGGGTCCTGGGGGAGCTCTGGAAGGGCACCCCCCCCCCCAGGGAGGAGAGCAGTGTGTGAGGGGCTCTCTGCAGGACAGGTGCTTTGGGTGTGTGCTTGGAGAGCACACCAGCCTGGCCACGTTTCCCAAACGGTTCACCAACATCACCCCAAAGTTGAGTAGAAAGGAGGAAGCGGATCCCCTCAGGATCTAGAAGTAGAGTTTTCAACTCTTAATACTAGGTTAAGACTTGACCTAAAAATACCGGATTTTTTTTTTTTTCTTTTGGATCAGGGATTGAACCCAGGGGCACTTAACCACTGAGCCACATCCCTGGCTCTTTTTCCTTTTTGAGACGGGATCTCAACTAAGTTGCTGAGGGTCTCGCTAAGTTGCTGAGGCTGGCCTCAAACTTGTGATCCTCCTGCCTCAGTCTCCCGAGTCTCTGGGATTACAGACGTGCTCTGCCACCACTGCGCCCGGGTCTAAACATTCTGCTTTTAAGTCGACCGTGAAGCTGGTGCCTCAGAAAGGTGGGCCACACCCACAGCAGGGTGCAGTCAGGACTGCTGACCAGCAGGGCCAAGGAGCCAGAGACCTCCCTGCTGGCTGAGCCAGCCTTGTGGACCCTGCCCAAGTCCCCAGAGACCAGGACGCCCCTGTCCCACATAATGATGGTGGCCCTCCAGGTAGAGAAGCGTGCGACCTACTGATGGGGCAAGGCCCATCTCCTGGCAGAGAGGGGAGCTGGAAACAGTGACCCCGGGACTGGAGCCGTCTGCAGACCTGCATCCGGTTCTCGGACCTTGTTAGCATGTGACCTTATCCCAGACCAACTGTGTTTCAATCGACTTTATCGTTTTTAAATTCAACTTCTTAGATCCATGTTATTTTCCAAGGAAAGTTGACGTCATTAACCTTTACAGAAAATCAAGATCGCTTTCCACAAATACGAAAGAAACTCATGGAACGTACACACATTGCTTTCTGGATCGAGACCCAACTGTCAACGTTAAAAAGGGCAGAATGGAGCCAGGCGCGGTGGCACACACCTGCCATCCCAAGCAGCTCAGGAGGCTGAGGCAGGAGGATCAAAGCCAGCCTCAGCAAAAGCGAGACCCTAAGCAACTCAGGGAGACCCTGTCTCTAAATAAAATGCAAAATAGGGCTGGGGTGTGGCTCAGTGGGCGAGTGCCCCTGAGTTCAATCCCCGGTTACCCCCTGCAAAAAAAAGGGGGGCCTGGGGAGAGTAGAACCCCAGGGAGGTCAGAGGCAGAGCCGGACACCCCTCCCTCTTCTTCCCCTGAAGCCATCCTCCTTAAACAAGCCCGAGTGGCCTTCAGCATTTGCCTACCTTACCTCACCCTGGAAGCTGGCAGGCCTGAGGCTGTCACCCCGTCTTCTCCAGGACTCCTCCCCTCGCACCTGCCTCAGGACCCTTGCTCGTCCTCTTGCCTGAATCCCTCGCTGGGAATGTGAGGAAGAGAGTCCCCCATCCAGCAAGTGGCCTGCTGGCCTTCACAGTCCCTCACCGCTGGAACCCAGCTGAGCCTGCCTTTGAGAACCACTCTTAAAGCAGACAAGCGAAGGCAGGGGAAGGAGGTGGCATCTGTTGGAAACTGGTGACAAGGAGACACAACACCAGATAACAAAGAGATGGAGGCCCCAGCCTCCAGAACTGTGAGCTAAGTAAACCCTCTGTGCTTTATAAATCACCCGGTCTCTGATGTTTTGTTACAGCAACAGAAAATGGACTAAGACACCGAGCCAGCAGGGAAAGCGTTGGAGAGAGAGACAGGAGGCCCGTTCACACCATGCAAGGACGGGAGGCCCACACTTCACTCCTGAGAGTGTGAAAGTCTGAACGGGTGGGGTAGCGGAAGGCAGCGGGGTCTGAGCCATCTCGCCCATCCAAGAGGGCAGCCAGCTGGGCTACGTGTGCATATGGAGGTGGGGAAGAGAGGGGGCCAGAAGTTGTGCAGTAGGTGCTCCTCCTGCCTGGAGTGCTCGCCCCCGGAGCTCGGCGTGGCAGAGGCAGCAGACAGGTTTCTGAAAGCCCGGAGCCAAAGGGAAGGGGAGGACGCAGGAAGCTTCCAGGCCAGAAAGGTGCCGGGCAGCCCTGGCCAGAGCCGTTGCTTTCTGTCCCTTGAGCAGCTCAAGGTCAGGGCTGCAGGGTCTTTGGGCCCCTCCCCCCACACCCTCTTGCCTGTAAGTAGAGGAACCGGCCACTGGGGGGCGCCCGAGATGCTTTCCTGGAGGAGGTTTCAGGAGGCCGGGATCCCCCCACCCCCTGAGGTCTTCAACCTCTAAGATTGAAACCTGGCGAGGGGGCGCCCGCCTGTGATCCCAGGGGCTCAAGGTCAAGGTCAAACCAAGGTGACAAGAGACTCAGACTTCCTGGTGCAGGGGCTGGTCTGGGCACTTTGTTAAAATGCAGGATCTGGCTTCCAAGATCTGGGGTGTGGCAGCTGACCGTCCCCCAGGTGCGACCAGGGGTCCCCCATTTATCTGCCTTCTCAACTTTATTCCGGTCTGGACTGTGGCTCCGAGGACAGGAAGGGGCTGGGAACAGGAAAACAGATAAGTTTTGTTGTTGTTGTTGTTGTTGTTTCTTGTACCAGGGACTGAACTCAGGGGCACTTGACCCCTGAGCCCCATCCCCAACTCTATTTTGTATTTTATTCAGAGACAGGGTCTCCCTGAGTTGCTTAGACCTCACTTTGGCTGAGGCTGGCTTTGAACTCGAGATCCTCCTGCCTCAGCCTCCTGAGCCGCTGGGATGACAGCTGTGCACCACTGCACGGGGCAACCAGATGTTTTTAATCGTCAGAAGACTCCCCCCCCCCCAGTTGGACAAAACACCTGCAAGATGCCCAAGGAACAAGAATCAGAAAAACCCACAGCTGGATATATATGAGACCGTATCTACTAGAAACATTAAAAATGGTCATTAAAACAATGGTACACATTTATTTAGCGCTTACAGAATACAGCTCAAGGGGCTGCAGTTGGGGCTCCGTGGTAGAGCGCTTGCCTGGCATGTGTGAGGCCCTGGGTTGGATCCTCAGCACCGCATATAAATAGATAAAACAAAAGATCCACTGATAACTGGAAAATATTTTTTTAAAATAGACAGTTCAAGAGTTTGCGCGGATTCTCTCACCAAAGCCTCGCCACTACCCTGTGAGAGAGAGTGATTTTATTTCCTCCTGGTTTAACAGATGAGGAGCTTCAGGCTGACTGGGGAGGGAGAGGAGCTCTCTCAGGTCACCCACCCGCTGGGTCGTGGAGGCTACTAGCAAAGTCAAGCAGGTCGTGGGCATCTTCCTGGGCTGAAGGACTGGAGTTACCGGGTCCTTCCAGAACAAAACTGCTCCACCCTGACTGTGAATTTCACCCAGGGCTTCTGCAGGCAGATGCTCTTGCAAAGGCTTTGCACCATGGTTTGGAGTAAAAACCTGTGACGTTGTAACAAGGATCCAGCAACCAGTCGGGAGGCTTCAAGTCGGTGGCCTCTCTGCTCCTTCAGAATCCCAGGCTTCTGGAAGCCCCACTGTCTTCCCTCCGCAGCCTCCAAGACCATGTTGGCGGTGGAAAGAGAGAGTGAGGGTCAG